AAGAGGTGTGTGCAATGGGCGGGGGTTTGCAAGGAGCACATGTGGATGAGCCTCAGGCCGTGGTGGCTGGAGGGTGTGAGCAGGAGAGGAAGTGGACCAGAAGGCATTGTGGGGGGGTGTGCCAGCCCAAGGTCAGGAGTTCGGATTTTGCTGAATGTTGAGTGGGAAGGCACTGGCAGGAAAGCACAAACATGCCTTTAAACTGTCACTGGCGACTATGTGAGGAGTGGAGGACAGGAGCGGCCGAGGGGCCATGAGGGCCGAGCGCAGCGGGCAGGCCCCAGGCCCCAGGAGAGCGGACCTGGCTCAGACGTGCTTGGTGGCGGACAGAATGGCGGGTGGGAGAGATGGCCATCCACTCTGTCTGGGGCGACGGATGCTATCAAAGAGGAGCGTTTGGCCCTGGCTGGTTTGGCTCAGTGGATAGAGCATCAGCCTGTGGACAGAAGGGTCCCGGGTTCGATTCCAGTCAAGGGCACATGCTTGGGTTGTGGGCTCGATCCCCAGTGTGGAGTGTGCAGGAGGCAGCCGGTCACTGATTCTCTCTCATCATTGATGTTTCTCTCTCCCTCTCCTTTCCTCTCTGAAATCAATAAGAATATATTTAAAGACTAATTAATCCATTAATTATTATTATTATTTTAAAGAGGAGCCTTTGGCAGGGTGGAGAGGTGTGAGTCTGGAGTTCAGCCTCAGACGTGTGGAACTCGGGGTCTATGGGGCGGCCAAGCACAGTGGTAGCTGGACCCTTCAAGCTGGAGTTGAGAGAAGGGGTCTGGGCAGGAGATGGAGAACTAGAGGTATCTGGACATTTAGGAGAGAGGACGGTGGAGAACAGAGAGTGAGGTGGCAGCCTTTGGTGCTAGGCAGAGGGGCAGGGGGAGGATGAGGGGAGAGTGGGATCACAGAAGGCAGCAGAGAAGGGACAGCTCTGCTCCCTGCCCACGAGGGCCCACTGTCCTGCAGCCTGGGGGTCCTGGGAGCCGTGAAGCAGGGGATGGGGCTGTACCCAGTGGGAGGACGAGCACTGTGAGAGGAGGGAACAGGGAGAGAGCTTTGTATGGAGGGGAATGGAGGAGGACCAGTGGCTGGGAGGACGTGTAGGACCAAGGAATTGGGGTTTTATTTTTTCTTATAAGACAGGAGATGATTCCACAGAGAAATATTGGTGATCAGAAGAGAAAGAAGTAATCTGCAGGAGCCAGGTCCAGGGGGCTGGGGTCCTTGACCTGACGGAGGGCTTGACGTTGGGAGTGTCAGAGGTTTCAGGGCCCCAGGCTGGAGGTGTGGGGTTTGAATGTGGAAGCATGGGATGTCTCCATCTAATGGCTTCACTTCATTAAGGCTGAGAGGGCAGGGAGGGGGCAGAAAACCCTGACCTGCAGCCCCAGGCCCGGTTAAGGTCGGCCACTGGGAAAGAAAGCGGAGGCCGCAGTGTGGGCTCTGAAGCTCTGAGCCACTGAGGGGCACGTGCTGTCCCGGGGTTGGGGTGGAGGGTGGGAGGCAGTGATGGACCATGAGCCATGCTGTTCCAGGACAAGGGTGAGGCCAGAGGGTGGTGACAGTGGGGAGGGGTCCCTGGCCTGGAAGTGCGCACACGGCTGAAGGACTTGGCAGCAGTGCGACAAGGGCACCTAGCAGGAGAGAGGTGCTTGGTGATGGCGCACTCCCTGGGGAGGACCAGGAACAGGGTGTACCCGGGAAGTGAGGGGCCTCGGGGGCCGGGGGAGGGCGTAGAGATGATGACTGAAAAGGCGCTGGTGAGTCATCCGTGTGGATGTTGAAGTCATGGGGAATGGCCTGAATTGAGGTGGAGGGGGCTGGAGAGCCGGGAGCAGAGAATGAGGGGAAGTGACCAAGACAACAGCTGATGACAGCTTTAGTGGGGAGTGGGTGTTGCCCTCGGAGAAGGGGAGGTGGCCACAAGGAGTTCTGCACGGAGAGCAATCACCACTACAGGGCCGGTGGTGTCCTCAGAAAGCCAGGTTTCAGTGAAGGCAGGAAGGATGGAGGACAGTGATGTCTACAGCAAAGTCTGCTGATCGCACAGGTCCCCGTGGAAGTGAGTGAAGACAGAGGGGCACTGGGCAACTCAGGGCCTATGGCAGTGGTTCTCAACCTTCTGGCCCTTTAAATACAGTTCCTCATGTTGTGACCCAACCATAAAATTATTTTCGTTGCGCCCTGACCGGTTTGGCTCAGTGGATAGAGCGTCGGCCTGCGGACTTAAGGGTCCCAGGCAAATTCAGTTGAAACGGTCACCTTCTCTATCAAGCCTTCGCAGGCCTCTCCAGAGTCCAGCTTGATATGCCTGAGTGCATGAGCCTGGCCGAGCCCGGGGCTCAGATCCCCAGTGGGGAGTGTGCAGGAGGCAGCTGATCGATGTTTCTCTCTCATCAATGTTTTTGACTCTCTATCCCTCTCCCTTCCTCTCTGTAAAAATATCAATAAAATATTAAAAAAATTATTTTCGTTGCTACTTCATAACTGTAATGTTGCTACTGTTATGAATCGTCATGTAAATATCTGATATGCAGGATGGTTTTAGTCGACCCCTGTGAAAGGGTCATTCGACCGCCAAAGGGGTCGCGACCCACAAGTTGAGAACCACTGGCCTATGGCAGCAGAGAAGAGACTCACTTGGGTGGGTAAAAGGTTGACAAGCACAATGGGTGCTTCTCCTCTGACACAGCATTAGTGCAGGAGGAAGATGTATGGTGGCCTCTAGGGGGGAAGCTCCTACAAGCTCTATTCCCCTGTCCATGCATTCACCCCATTCACTTGTCTATCCAGTGACCTACACATCTATCCATCCATTCACCCACACATCCAACCACCTCTCACCCATCCATCCACCCATCCATCCACCCACCCATCCATCCACCCATCCATCCACCCACCCATCCATTCACCCATCCCATCCACCCACCCATCCATCCATACATCCATCCATCCATCCACCCACCCATCCATTCATCCACCCATCCACCCATCCACTCACCATCTATCCATGCATCTACCCACCCATCCACTCATCCACCCACCCACCCATCCACTCACCCATCCACCCACCCATCCATTCATCCATCCATCCATCCCCCCATCCACTCACCATCTATCCATCCATCCACTCATCCACCCACCCACCCATCCACTCACCCATCCACCCACCCATCCATTCATCCATCCATCCATCCCCCCATCCACTCACCATCTATCCATCCATCCACTCATCCACCCACCCACCCATCCACTCACCCATCCACCCACCCATCCATTCATCTATCCATCCATCCACCCATCCACCCACCCTCTCTCCATCCATCCACCCACCCATCCATCCACCCACCCATCCACCCCTTCATTCATCCACCCATCCATCCACCCACCCATCCACCCGTCCATCCACCCACCCATCCACCCATCCTCCTATCCATCGAGCAGGAGCACCAAGGAGGCTGACACCGTCTGAGTAGCTGTCTGCTCATTCGGAAGGGAAGCATGAGCCAGACCCGAACAAGTCAGCTTCTCGGGAAGGAGGAGCACAAATGTTCTGGGCGAAAGACTTCAGATATGGGAAGCCTGGCACTTGGGGATGATGGTGGGAGGTCCATGCCGCTCAGAGATGTGTCGGGAGATGAGGCTGGAGAGAAAGGCAGTGGGCAGAAGGGAGCGGCCTGCTTTATCTTGGAAGCAAAGGGAAGCCTTTGACATCTGTGACACCTGCCACAGCTTCGTTCTAGGGGTACCATGTGTGCCCTGGATGTGCACCCCAAAAAGGGAACCCTCAGCCTTTCTGGGGTCCCCAGGGCAACACTGCAGGCATCACTGGAGGATTGCTGTTCCCAGGCAGGGGGGTGATGGCCGCTGAGGCTCTCCTCTGGTGACCACGTGCCAGCCGCCGGGAGGCCAGGGCCTTCATTCCCCTGTGGTCCAAGCCTAAGCCCATCACGCCCCCCTCTCTGCAGCTCAGAGGCCGGCTGTCTGCCTGCTGTGGCTTTGTTCACTCTCCGCTGCCTGGGAAATCCTATTTGTCCTTTGAGGCCCAGGTCAGAGCCGCCTTCCCGATTCCTTCCCGGCCCCTCACAACAGCAGGAGGGCCTCCTCATGTGGGGTACCCTCTCCAGCAGCCCACGGATGCAGTCGGGGGCTGGTGTGCATGGGAGGCCAGGCACCACCTGGTGGCAGAGCCCACATGGAGAAGCCCCTGGGAGCGGAGCCCAGGCCACTTTTCCATTAGGGCCTGAGGGCAGGAGGGAGCGTCCTGGCTTCAGGCTAAGGAGGGACTTCCCAGCGGTCACGGTGCTCTGAGGGGCCAATATGCTCCTGTTGGTGGGCCTCAGTTTCCCTGTCTGTACAGTGGGACTGGACGCTTGGGGCGGGTTTTCCAGCCCTGGCCATCCTGTCCATTGGTGCTACACCAGGATCTTGGTGTATGGAGGGCACCGCCCAGGGCTCTTCCCAGGGAGGTTAGCGGGGTCAGG